ATGGGTGAGACAATAGTTTCACAGAGCTTTGAGGATCACTGGCACTAATGTTAATACAAGATCTAGGTTTAATGCCTTTTTAAATGTTTTTAGAACTGTTGGAGCAAACAGCGCACAGCACCAACTTGAGCCAGACTTCAGCCTAAAGTTGTGTAGGAAGCCACACCACAGGTACGTGCGGGGAAGAAGACAGGATCTTAGAGAAGTGCAAGTCAAGACTGAAATTCTATTCTGTCTTTTGATAACAAAAGAAAAATATTTGGTGAATGAAAAGTAAAGTGGTTGTGTGGAGGTCCGCATAAGATTCAGGGAGTCCAGTGTTAGACACTTGAGGGCTAAAACTCTGATTTCAGGATATCTCCTCTAGCAAATGTATTTTCCTCTTAAGGCAAAGCCCTAATTGCAGAAATACAACGGACAAACTCTGCTTCTCTTCCCTTGTACGTCTGTAGGCAATGTGAGAACACGCTGCTAACCACAAGGTAACAGATGGCCGGAGAGTCCTGGTGACCGCGGGCGCTGTCGCGCTGAGCGGGGAACAATGCCGTGCACATCTTAGCATGTGCCACCCAGCAGCGCCGAGGGCCATTGTCCCCGGCCTGCTGCAAAATCCTGATTCCACGCTTAAGAGCTGCAGAAAAGAGCCTCGCTCTCTCAGACCTGCAAAAGAGCAGCTCCCCATGTCGTTCATTGAAAATATGGAAAGGGCAATGCATATAGAAATCTAATTAATGGCAGGCACAGCCTGGCTTTTAGCATGATAATTGCGGGCCCTTGTGCTTGCTTGTGCACGGACCCCTGAAAGGTACTCGCCAAAGTTAAAACTATTGAATTTCCATCGGTCATTCGACGTTTGCTTTGATTATGCTGACACGATTTTTGTTTGTTCCTAAACTGCAATGAGAAACTTACTAATCGCTTTCAAGTATTTTAAAGACAAGGGGGGGGCGCCTGGCCCACGAGAAGTAGAAAGCGGTGAGAAAAGGGAGCGATGCAGCGATCGTGACGGCACAGCCTGGCTCCTGCACC